GGTTTCTGATATGTTTTAAGAATGATTTATAAACTTTAGGATATTTTAAATATAAGATTTAAGGGGACTTTTTTAGATGGGAATTTTAGATTAGAAATAAAGTACAAGTGTACTTTAAACTTAAAGGTTAATGATTGGTTAGGAGACTTAGAGTCTGGTTACGTAGTTTGGCATTAGTTAATAAGAAAATAGCATATCTTGGGGAAAATAGTAAATCTTGGGAAAATCTGAAAAATGTAAATTAGTGACGTATTTTATTAATGATTCTGAACTTTTATTTTTCATTTTTATTTTTTTAAATATTTTATTTTTTAGTTGTAGTCGGACACAATACTTTTATTTTATTTATTTTTATGTGGTGGTGAGGATCAAACCCAGGGTCTCACCCGTGCTAGGCAAGTACTCTACCACTGAGCCACATCGCAGCCCCCGATTCTGTACTTTTAATAATTAAATAACTAAAGGGCATATACTGGAAAAATGTAAATTAATGTTACATTTTTTTTGTACCCCCAATCATGGTTAAGGAAATGCCATGTCTTGGCAAAGTTTTAAATTATATAATCAATGAYGTATTCTGAATYTMTAATGATGAGAAAAATTGCAATAAAAGATGACCCAGAGAAAGCTGCATTAGAGCCTCTCTCTGGAGATTGCTCCAACCGAACGATCCTGTCTCATCTTTTCGCCGAGGCCACTCATCCTTCAGAGTTCCCTGGACCCCGCTAGGGMAGGACCCCCGGCACTGGAGACGATGGGGTCGCCGCAAGCTCCCAGCAGTCCACAAGCCGCAGGGTGGGGAGATGMAGAGGCGCCTCCTCCAGGCCTGTCCCCTGCACACCTGGGGCGGGGGGCGCCCGGGGGACGTCACGGAGGAGCAGCTCTGGGGAGGACGAGTGTGTCCCCCCACTCCTCTGCCAGCGGGATTCTTGGAACCTTCATCGCATGTGTTCCCGGCTGACCTAATACTCTAAAAAATGACTCCCTTTCACCTGACCGCTGAGAAGGACGCCCAGGGGTGAGGGCACCGGTCTGCAGCCAGAGGTCCGCCCCCAGCCATGAATCAGGTGTGAAGGCAGCCGAGCACCCGCCTGCACTTCCTGGGCCCGAGCCCTGGCCGCCTGCCATCCCCTCCTCTCCCACCCTTATTTGGAGCCCCTGACACTGAGCCACCAGCAGACAGGGGCAGTTGGGCCCCGGCCAGCGGCCACCCTCTGCTTCCCGCGTGGGTCCCCGTTGCTGAGGAGAAAGAATCCCGGGGCGCGGCGGGGAGATAACCAAGGACTCTTTTTTGCTCTTCTCACACCTTTGAAGTGGGGGCCTCTTGAGGCAAATCAGCAAGAATGTGGCTCGTGCAGCGGAGGATCTGGGGGGCTGCGGGAGCGGCTCGAGGCGCAGGGGCCGTGACAGCGCTGCTGGCTGATAACTTTAAAAGGGCATCTTCGGCGGGCTCCTCACTCTGCCGCTTTATCGCTGCAAGTGACAGAATGGGGAGGTTCTGGCCCTGCTGCATGCTCAGACGGCAGGGGCTATAAAAACGGGAGGCGCTGGGCAGCCGAGACAGTGACGGATGCAGGCCAAGGAAGGGGAGCCAGAGAGGAGGGAGAAGAGGCAGCAAGCACCCCACCGCCCCTCGACCGCCGCCAGCATGGGCTCCTTCTCCGCCGTCGCCGYGAGCCTCCTCCTCTTCCTGCTGTTCCAGCTTCCAGGCCAAGCGGGAGCCAAGCCCGTGTACAGCGCCGTGTCCAGCGCAGACCTGGCGGATTTCAAGGTAGGGCCAGGAAGGAGGTACAGCCTGGCACCAGGGGGCTTTCCAGTGCTGGGCTGGTTCTTTTCCATTCTCTCCAAGTCAACGAGACGCCCTCCCTTCCCCCTCTATTTTCCTTTTGTGAAGAATTTGCTAGACCGTTTGGAGGAGAAGATGCCTTTAGAAAGTGAGGTTCCCTCACGAGTCCGAGGCGAGCAGAATGAAGAAGCAGGGCCAGATGTCCCTGACGAGGCTTCCTGGACCGGGGAGGTCAGCCCAGACCAGGGAGATGGGGCTGGCCCCGGGCCGGACCCCTGGGACTCTGCTGATCGCTCTGCCTTYTTGAGAAACAAGCCGACGGCCCCTCGGAGCCTGCCGAGATCCAGCTGTTTCGGGGGAAGGATGGACAGGATTGGAGCCCACAGTGGCCTGGGCTGTAACAGCTTCCGGGTAAGAGGATCTGGATTTGGGAACAGGATGGGAAGAAGATGGGGTCGCATTGCCATAGCAGTACTAGCAGGGGACTCTTACAGGAAGGGGACCAGTGTAGAAGATAACTCCTTCTGAGTTTCTACCCCAACTTGGGGGGTGCCCCACAAGTCTCAGAACAATGTCATCACACTCAGCTGTAGCCTGTTGGAAAAATGCTTTAAAAAAAAAAGTTACTACCACAGCATTGAACAATTAAAATACAGGGTCAAGTCCCCTTTGCTCTGCTAATAGCAATTCGTGTTCTTTCCAGAACTGCAAGATCCTGCGGGAGCTAGGTGACATTRACAAGGATTGCTCCTCTGAGTTCAATGGAACTCAGAGATCACTAAGCTGGAGGGGGCACGGGGGTGGGGGAGTAGCTGCCCGAAGGTCAAGTAAAAGGTTTGACACTGTCCTATGATGCTGACCCTCCAGTAGAGCCAGATCGCCAAGCCGAATGTCTTTCTCTTTGTAGTACGGAAGATAACAGCCTGGCCGGGCAGACTGCAGGAGACCCTCAACCAGGGGTCTCACCAAGTTTGGTCTCATTGCATTGCCACTGAGTCGGGATGAGCACACTGTTGGAGCTTCAACTTCCTGTCAACATTTCTCACATCCGATGCTAAATGTAGATCAAGTGGYTTAGCTGTGGCTCCTCTGCCGCTCCCACCCCACGCGTCACTGTCAACCCCACCTACTACTGAAAGCCTTGCAAAACCAATAAACTTCAGCACCACGGACAGAAGCTGAGCCCCGGGTGTAGTTTTTTTTTTTTTTTTTTCTAGTTTCCAAGGGAGAACAATGGAGCCCAGTAGGCCATTGTCTGAGATGAGAATGCTGTTTCTTTTTTCCTCTTTCACCCCCCCTTTATTTTTGGTGGGAGGTGGGGACCTCAAATTGCAGCTTCCAACCTGCTCCGCCTCCTCAACAGCCTCAGCCCCAGAACCCAGAAAGGCCCTGAGACTGAAAGGGCACTTCTCCAGACTTACTCACATTCAGGGCATTGTTGATCGAAAATAAAACTCACAAACCTCTCCATTTCATCTCCTGGTTACAGCTACCGCAGCCGCACTCAACAGACAACACTTGCATCCCTACTGCTTATGGGTTAGAGTATTTGTTTTGTTTAGGGCACATTTAGAACATGAGGCTATTAGCTACGTTTTATCTGATTCACTTAAGAGAGTTCACTGTGGCAGCCAAGCCAATCACACTTCTAGCTTGGTTCAGAGCTGGCTGTGCGCTGGGTTCAACGGCTGAGCAAAGTGAAGAAAGGTTTGCTGTGCCGAGGGGCCGYGAGGGGCCATCAGGGCCACCAGGGGCCATGAGGGGCCACCAGGGGCCGTGAGTTCCCGTGCCTTTTGTGAACTACCTACCAGAGCACAGTCTTTTCTCTTCAGGCCCAAGGTGCCTGGACTTGTGGATGGCACCAGGTGCAAGCTGCTGGGGAGGAGGCAGTGTTTTAGTGTCTACATCYGGAAAGGGTCTTATCCTATGCAGGAAACTCCATCTTAACCAGGGCGCAGTATTCCACCGGCCCCCTACCTGTCGCCCCAGCCACCAGCCCTCCTCTGCAGGTCCTGGTACTCCAGCGAGACCCTTACCCACACACCTGCCCCTTGGGGCCTTATTTCTGCTGCTCCCCCCAGCCGAGGCCTGCTACCTGGGCCCCCAAACACGTGCTCCTCACCCTGAGGCTCGTTGAGATGCCATTTCTTCCCTGACACCATGTGCCCAGTAGCCCCAAGTCTTTWTACAGAAAACCTTTTGTGACTCTTACGCCGGGGTTTGGCGTGTGACTGTGAGTGCCAGGAGGGGGAGCACTCTGCAGTTCTCGCATCTTGGACGCTCATGACTGCTGGCCACGTTGTCTTGGTCTTGTACAAACTGGGAAGAGGAAACCAAGTAAATGTGCCCCTGCCAGAGGGAAGGGGAGGCCCAGAGTGAACGGTGGTAAGAGGCGGGGGTGAGGGAAGAGCTCGAATCATGTCCCAGATGCTCCTTATTTGGCCTTCAAATACCGGAGGGCAGAGAACCAAGCAGCACAGAGTGACTCAGGAGGACAAGCATAGAGCAGCACACTATCGCTCCACRCCTGGCTCAGAGGCCAGGCACCAGGGGTCGGGTTGCTAGGAGGGAAAGGGAGGCAGTCGGGCACCCTCCAGAGATGTCGCCTGGCGCGGGAGCGCTGGCTGACTGGAACTGACCCCAAATGGCAAACACACAAGCAGAAAGTCCCTGAACTTGGAGAAGGCAGGGGTGAGGGGTGGGTGCAGGGGCCAGACTGGGCTGTCACTGGTGGCAGGGTGACTTGGGGCAGGACGCGGAGACAGTTCTTGCAAAACAAAAAGCAAGTGAACCAAGAGTAGTGACAGATGGCACTGCCAGATGCCGCCTGGGGTGGTGACATCCACAGATGCTGAGCTGGCTTGGTTCTTCTGGGCAGAGTTCTGAGGARTCCTTCTGCAGCAAGTCCCTAAACACAACACTGGCAGGAAAAGATGAGCACTTGGSGTGGACTGGTGTTCCTGTGAGAGAAGGACCAGAGGTGACCTGGTGACGTATGCAGGACCTAGATGCTTACTGAGGCAGTGGGTGGCCTGATCCAGCTGAGCCCACCGTGGGGGTGAAGAGGTGGCCGGGCAGCCACAGGAGCTGAGGCCGAGACGCCTCCCAGCACCCGAACACTGGCCTTTTAGAAAGAGAGGGAACAAGCTAAAAGCCAGCACCCTCGAAAGAAAGAGATCGAGAGTCAGGCTACCGGAGACAGGCAGACGTTTTACTCTGACATGTTACAGTTACCATGAGAACTTCCAAGTTCCAAAAATTCAAATAAAAATAGAATTTTACAAATTAAAAAAAAATACGATTGATTTATATACACAGTGGAATTAGCTCACGTTACCTTGTAAACAAACAGTGCAAACAGAAAGGAGGCGGCTGCGGAGGAGGGACGCCCAAGGTCAGCAGGGCTGAGGGCGGCACTGCATGTCAATACTGAGGGCCAAGTGGCCTTTCCTGAAGCCTCCTTGTTACCAGGGRCCCAGTCAGCACACAATCCTGCATCAGAACTGTCACGTGGTTGTCTGGGCCAAGCAAGATTCCATTCCCACCAGGGCAAACAAGATCGTGCGAGAGCAGAGATCCCCAAAAGGGCAAAATTCCACCAGACTGGAGACCTGTCACCTCACTGCATYAGCTAGAGGTGGAGCAAAGAAGAGCCCCTCTGGTGACCTGATTCCCCCCTGCAGATGCCTTATCCAGGTGCCCAGCTCYGGGCGAGGCAGCTGCAAGGCTGTTAACAAGTGAGACTCTGCGGGCGCTGGTTTCTACTGCACAGAAATCCAAGGAGCAAGGCTTAGATTTCTGGTCACAAGTGGAGAAGTTGTCATCTTTGGGCTTTTCTGAGAGGGGCAGGTGCAGAAAGGAGGAGTCCAGGAATCCACATGCCTTTAGGGGGCCTGTGCTGGGGGCCTCCTCGGTGGCCAGTGACTGGCTCAGGGTGAGGGAGGCGTCTGCACTCTATTATCTATTTCTGGGTTAAACTGATCAACAGAACAACTCGATGTGCTCAAGGGATGAAGTCCAACAGTGGCATCCAGACAGCCTCAGTGAGGCAGGTGGCTGGCGGCCCAGCCCTTAAGGCCTAGGGTCCCCACACTGGGCAGGGCCAGGGGGTGAGGGTCCTCTGATAGGCGGTGACTTGGTTCTCCTGCCTTGGACAACTGGCTTAATAAAACCAGTTCTCAGTAAAAGGAAAAAACAGGGTCAAGCTCTGAGCAGCACAGTACAAAGCTGCAACCAGATGAACGCACCCCCTGAAAAGCGCTCTGAGCTCCTGAACTAGTCACTGGGAGTGTCACCCCAATACACAAGCCTGCGTCCAGAGATGCTGCAAATGGAGAAGTCAACATCATTTCGGTCAAAAGGATAAACAAATGGGCGACTGGAGGGCCACAGGCCTTGGTCAGTTGGAAAAGGCCCTGAAGCCCACCTGCACACATAGAATGATTCTCTAGAAYGGGCGGGGCATGAGGCCGGCCAAGCCGGGAGTGACACCATGCCCAGGCTGCAAGAAGCCAGGCCCAGGGCACGGATGCCATGGGGCAATTTCATGGTTTAAAAAACACTAAATGCAAATGAACACCATCTCGAGTCCCAACGAACAGCTGCTAGAGGGACACCTGATGGGACCAAGATGCCAAAAGACATGTGGAAGTTGGAGGAAGATGGGTGCCAACGTCCCATCCAGATCTTCTGGGTCCTGGAAGAGCAGGCAGGGTGCTTCCTCTGGTCACCACTAAAACCTTCAGGCACCTGCAGGCGGGAAGCACCTCCCCCACCCCACCCCTGCAGTGCAGCAGACCCTGCTGAGCCCCTGTCCCTGAGCCCCTCAGGAGGACGGGGAGGTTGGCAGTAGGGGAGTGAGATGACCGTGAAGGGGAGACACCTCCTCCTGCAAGCAGCCCCTGCTTCCTCCTACAGGAGCCTCTGAGGGACTGCCTGCTCAGGTGGACTTCTTGCCAGCTCCAGGAACAACCTACTTCCGGGGCTCCAGGAAGAGGGTTAGTCTGGGGGGCTCTGGTTTTGATTGACTTTGAGGGTGAGTCAAGACTGAGATGGGGCCCTCTCATCAGGGAGACGGAGATAAAAACTTAGAAAATCTAATAAATGGTGGAGATGAAAGGATAGGAGACTGTTAGGGGACAAATGTGGCCTGGAAGACCTGGAGCAATCTGCAAATGGAGAGACAGGGTGGGGTCAATCTGACCCTGTGACTGSACTCCTCATCTCCAGCTGCAGTGCTCCCAGAGGGCAGGTTCTAAGGAGAGAGCAGAGCACCTGCGCATTCCCGAGGAGCACACAGGTTCCCTTAGATGAACCAGAAGACATTAAGTGAGCAGTCTCAAGGGAGGAGGATCGAGTGAAGAGTCCCAATAAAGTGGCCCCTGAACACGGGGAATCTTCCGGGTGCCCGATTCCTAAACTTAGTAATGAACCTGATTTTGGAAATGGCATCCCCCAGGTGCGCCTCGACCCACGCTCCTCCCAGAGGACTAAGGCAGCAGCTGGGCTGTCCAGGAAAGCAATGTGGGCCAAGAAACTGCTCCACACGTCCCCTGGGGATCCAACCTGACTTCCCCCTCCAGTCCTGATCTCTTGGGGCCGAGGCAGGCCTGTGCCAACACAGGCAGGAACACAGGGAGCAGGAAAGAGGAAGGTACTTGCTGAGGAAGTCGGGAAAGTCCACACTCTGATGGTTCAACGTCATCCCCAGGACCTCTGACCAGCAAAGCGTTCCACGAGACCCGGTTCTGGGCAGGTGGGTGGCCGGGAACCCCGTGCCCTAGAACAGCCCCAGCCGGCTGCAGCAGCCAGAGTGCGAGCGGGGGGCTGGCGGTGGCAGCGAGGCAGGCTGTCAGAGGGTCTGGTAGTGCTGCCGCAGGCGGGCCTGCAGGAACTCGGATGTCAGGTTGTGCCGCGTGATGATGCCAACAATCTAGGACAAGGGGAAAAGACCCAGGTCACTTGCAGAAGAAAACCCACGGCAAGGACAGCTGGCCCAGTGTGTCTGTCACCAGATGTGGAAGGAGACAGAAGTGGGGCCTGATCAGTGCAGGGCCAGGCATGAGAGGAACGGAACAACCATTTCACAGGCTTCCTACGTAAGAGAACTACAGCAGGTAACTAGGGCTCACAGACTCAGGGGGCAAAAGTAGCTCTTTTTAAAAAGAGCTACTCAGTTGGGCAGCCGACACCTGAATTGGCCTGTCTTCATTTCCTGTATTTGTTTCTTTTGGGGCTGGGGTTTAAAACCAGGGCCTCTGCCGTCTTTACAATTGAGCGACAGCCTCAGCCCTGGCATGTCCTAAACAGGGCCTGTGCTGTAGCGCTGTCCCTTCCCACCATGCCTGCCTGCTTCACTGGTGTGTGCAAGAGCCAGGGACCCAGAGGCTCCTGAGCCCAAGGCCCCTGCTACATCTACCTGTAACCACCACCTTGCAGAGCCACCGACAAGAGCCATTTGTTCACAATTCCTTAGAGTGGTTCCCGATGTCACTGATGGTGGGTGCCCCAAAGTCACACTGCAAACTGTATTTGAACTGGTTAATGGAGTTAGCAGTTACCTTTCAAGAAACACAGTTCATCCTCTATAAATAAACTCACATAAGAATGTGCCTCCGGACTGCTCAGAGGATGCTTCCTCTAGCATCATTCTCCAGAGGGCAGCTGGCCACATGTACTGAAAGCCTCCAAAAGGGAGGTCTGCTGTAGGGTGTCTTAACTGAATATCCAGCAGAGAGGACGTGGAATGGGACAGCCATGCTACAGTGCCATCAAGACACCATGGAAGCTGTACTCGCAGTGACCCAGGAGGCTGAGGTGGGAGAATCACAAGTTCAAGGCCAGCCTGGACAATTTAGTGAGACCCTGTCTCAAGCAAAATAAAGAAGGCTGGGGATGTAGCCCAGTGATAGAGTGCTTGCCTAGCATGTGTGGGGCCCTGGGTTTGATCCTCAGTTCTGCCAAACAAAGTAACACCATACACAGGTGGATACTAGGTGAAAAATCAGGCTACTGTACAGAATGAACAGCAACTCTCTTTCACCAAAACTTAACATTTGGTCAATCTCTGGTCTTGCAAAAAGACTGAAGGGCGGGATGTTGCCATGGTGATGCTGTAGCAGGAATGAGGGCTTGGTTTTGTTTGATCACCTGTTTTGCTTATTCTTCTAAAAGGAAATAACAATAATTGTGTAATAATAATAATAATAATAAAAGAACTTCTAAAAAGAAATAACGGAAAAACTTGTGGCAATAATTACTAGGTGTGGTAGCTGTAAAACTCTCCAAGTATTGTGCTTGAAAGTCTCTCATTTAATGCTACACAGTGCCATC